TCGACCACCAGGGACCCTTGCAGACCTATCTAGAGGACCGATGCTCACCTATTGGCCAACGCGCGATGATGGACGGTGGTTGCACGAACGAAGGTGAAGCAGAGCGGGCTCTCCTCGGTGGTGGGCGACCTGCAATGGCGGCAACCGCATTCCGGTGAGCCATAACGCTAACAGAATGGTAGAGATAGGGAATAAGTACCAGGGGTACACCACGAACCTGCCCAAAGTGGTGGTTCAACTGGAGACTACCTGAGCAGTGCTGGCCACGTGCGTGCGACGAGCACGGCAACAAGCTGCAGTGGACACGACCACGTCAGCGACAGAGGGGAGGCGGTAGCGCTCCCACTGGCGTGCGCACAGTGGAGAGGGAGCCAAGGCGAGATAGTGGTGCAGAGGAATTTGCGCGAGGTGAAGTGGTGAAGGCTGTCCATGACGCGTGCGGCGACGGTTCATAATGGCACGGTGTTGGGCAAAGCTCCAAAAATTGGAGCTCGGCTGAGCCACAATCAAAGCGGGGTGGGGTCGGCTGGAAGAGGGGAGGGGAGGGCGGAGATACGAGCACGAGAAATTTATGAGAGTTGCCCGCTCTCTGGCTCACCGTGACGCGACACGACGGCGGCGGAAAAGCAGAGAGAGAAGAGAGAAATAGAGCGCGACAGTGGGTTCGGCTCATCCCTGCCTTGGCAGGATACGGTAGGCGAGATCGGGAGGCCCACGCGCTGGCGCTAGCTGACAGGCGCATGCGCCCGACCGGCGTGGCCCGCGCGGCCGTAGCGACTTAAATGACAAGGCGACGGCGGCGTGCGCGGCCACGTGCGGACGGCACCCAACCGGCCCAGGGAGGGGCAGCGTGATGCAGCAAGCAGACGCGAGTACGGGAGCGACACGACGGCAGCGGTAGCGTCACGACGCGAGGCAGCAGTGGCAGACGCGACAGCAGCGGCAACGCGGCCGCAGCGGCATCAATGGCGGCAGCACAAGGCAGGGCAGTAAGGCGTAGGGCCAATAGCTCGCTGCGTCGGCCTCGGCCAAGCCCGGCCGGCCCTACCGACCTAGCGCGGCGGCGCAGAGCGACCGCGCTAGGCGCGACCACGCGCGCGGTGACCGCGCACCCGACGCCAACCAACCAGAGACAGTGACGCGCACGAATTTTAAAGCGCTCAGCACGACCAAACGGTTCCTCCTAAACCTAAACTGTCTTCACCATGCTCAAGATGACATATGAGACTACCAAATCGAGCTATAACACTATACCACCCTTTAACCCAATCTCTCATAATAAATTGCTAAACATAGCAGTATCTAACTGTCGACAGACTTGAAAATTCCTAAGTTTTTTAGCTGAATTTGATTTCTATTTGCAATTTCTAAGCTAGTGGAAATATTAGCTAGTAATATCATTTTTTGACCGCAAGTATTTCATTGTCGTCTAAAAAGTTTGTACTTTCAACTTTATTAAGGTGACACATATATGTTCTATAGCATTTTTGCTTAATAAAAATTGGTTTTAAACCCTAAGTGATATAACATGACTATCGAATCAACTTTCGTTATGCATTCTAGTTGATCGTTTTGAGTTACGAAAATTGATCTACACACTTTATTACATGCATTAACACATAAACATGATGCTCATGACATATTTTAGTAAATGATTTACGGTGTAACACCGAGGGTGTTACATGTTTCAATTGTCTTCAAACGTATGTTGCAACTGTTTGTATTTGAATGTTTCAAAAGTATATCGGGTGTTGCATCTCTCATCCCCACCTTTCTGTCGCAACGTCTCTCCTAGCGCCGACAGGACATCCATACGACGCCACTGCCGGGTCCTTCCGAATCGGAGGCGCCGCGCGCCCTTCCCCTCTCGTCGCTCGGTGGCGCGGGGCACACGTGGAGCGTGAAACGGAGTGTAGCTCGTGGGCGTCCAAACGCGGGCGTCTGTCCGGACGTCCGGGCACTAGCACTTTCGCTCTCCAAAACAGATGCTTCATAATATAGAATCTACTTTTTTTGGGAGACCCAGACGTAGACCTCATATACACGAGCGCGCACTCCTCCTATGAAAGCACGCACGCACATCCTACCCTTATGAGCACCTCTGAAGAATTAACTGGACCGATAAATCTCGAGATTGATAAAAGGATTAACCCGAAAAGATCTCATGCAATAAACACTAGTAGTGAGACTTTAAAAGGACTGCTCCAACTTTGTAATTTCTGACATAGGAACGGTGTTGGTTGCAGACTTTGCAGTACTATCACTGTTAATATATTATTAGGGTCCACATAGATGTGCACGGAATATGTACATAGCAAAGCCGGTATTGATTAAATAAGATGGTCCTATGCTATGACTACTGCCGTGAAAAGCCAGACCGAAAAGTATTGTTCGCTGATTTGTTGTGAGAAAAAAATATTATACTATGACTGATAAGCCAGATTAATAAATTCAAGCAAGCATGGCATATATTGGTCCCGTTCAGTTTACCTTAAAAGCCGGTTTGTTCGGCTTCTTTTTTTAGCCGGAACAGTGTTTTTCTCTCACGACAATTCAGCTTTGGCTTGTTTGTTCAACCAATTTCAGCCAAGCGAACGGGGCCATTGATGATGTGTTTCTGTTCAACCATGTGCACATCTTAATTCTTCTTCTTTTTTCCTTGAAACCAACTGGTACAAGAGCTGCCTGTTATACAACTAAAAACGAAGAAAGGTCTAAGACAACTATGAACAACACTGTCCAAGGTGCATCCTCACCAAAACAGCACACATTGCCATGCCCCGAGAGCTATATGTATATGTATATATATAGTGTGATCAACAAAATTGTAGAAGAGTTACCAAATGTTTTGCTCCCGCAGCCTTCCAAACTCCAAAGCCTCGCTTCATCTGTAATTTTGTTTAGTATTGTTGATTAATTGCGCTGGTAGGTTTGAAAATTTGCACATTTCTTTCTTTCCACACTACTTAGCACGTTAAGATGGTCAAAGAGCGCACACCTTTGTTGGCCGCACATTGAACACAAACCATGTCACTCCACCATTCGAGAACACTTATTCGCCATGGATCCTAGGGAGGAGGCTGGGTGTACCAAGCCAAGAAACAATGCCTTTCCCACAACCATCTGCTAAAATGACAATCTTGGAAAAGATGTAATGTAAGGCTGTGTTTAGTTCACGAAATGAAAATTTTTGGATATCACATCGGATGTTTTGGGATGTCGGAAGGGATTTTCGGATACTAATAAAAAAACTAATTACATAGCTCGCCTAAAAACTACGAGACGAATTTATTAAGCCTAATTAATCCATCATTAGCGCATGTTAGTACTGTAGCACTTATGGCTAATCATGGACTAATTAGTCTTAAAATATTCGTCTCGCGATTTCCAACCAAACTGTGTAATTAGTTTTTTTCGTCTATATTTAATACTCCATGCATGTACCGCAAGATTCGATGTGATAGTTTAGGGTGAAAATTTTTGGGAACTAAACCAGACCTAAGCTAGACTCGCAACCCATTTACACATTGGGGGCAATTTTGGGGTTTGGCCAACCACATGTGTTAGAGTATGGCAGGGGCCTATTGAGCCTGGGCTGGATATATAGCCCATTAATGTTAGGGTTAATTAGAGATAAGGATCGTTTGCTTAGGAATCAAATAAACCTCTCTATATAAGGAGAGGTGATGTATCAATCTAATCAAACAAGAATTAAGAAGGAAATCCCTTCCCTCTTGCCCGGCCATAGGCAAACACCCAACGGCCGGCTCTCTCACCCTCGCAGCCCTAGCATGAACAGTGCCCCTCGGTACTGTACGGCCGGCTCTCTCTCACCCTCGCAGCCCTAGCCGTGAACAGTGCCCTCGTTACTGTAGCGCCGCGGTACTGTAGCGCGACAGCCGCCATCGCTTCCCTCGACTCTCTTCTCTCAGTCCTAACAGCCACGTATCAACATGCCCCGGAACGATCAAGGGAGAAAGCATTGTCTCGGTGGAGCCAATAATTGAGCCTTGTATTTACATTTCTTTATTTGTCTTCACATTCCACCTCATATTTGTGCAATTGCAGAGGGCAGAACTATTTCCATTTTCTAGAATAATCAGTGAGCACAAACAAATATATACTGAAACCACAAACACAGTCACAGATACACAACACAGAGACCACAGTCAGAGTCACAGATTCACAGGTCCACAAGACCACAATCACAAAGTCTACTGAAACCTAATGCATCCAGAGTTCCAGACATAGTCTAGTGGCAGTGTGGCATAGTACAACTTATATTTCGATGAAAAATACTGTACATGCATTGCCTACCAGTTCACCCATTAAGTTATTCATTGCTTTTTGGCATAATGTCATGGCTACATTGAATGGATGGGACTACTAAACCCAAGCCCAGCCCTTGGCCCGTGTTTCGTTCAAGCTAAGCTACTAAACTTTAGTAGTAGCTCATAAACGGTTTAGTCAGTTTTAGTAACTCTTAGCTACTAAACGGTTTAGTCATTTTTAGTAACTCTTAGCTACTAAACGGTTTAGTCATTTTTAGTAACTCCAGAGGTATTAGAGAGGACTAAAGCTCTTTTAGTAGCTTTTAGTCATAACGTTTGATTAAAAAGTTACTAAAGTGACTAAAACTACTAAATTTAGTAGCTATTGGACAATACAAACAGGCCCTAAGTGCTGCTTCGGTGGCACGGAGCCGGAACGGCCACCTTCGGTGCGGCATAAAAACTAGAAATAGTATTTACAGTGAACCATGTGAATAGTAGGGTTGATCCAGCTCCAGCTTTGCAAATTCTGGCAGACTAGCAGTCTATTTGAACTTTGCAGGAGGCGTCACGTTGTACATAGTAAAGCAGCTACGATTCACAATTTCACATAGTATAGTCTTATGACTACTGCAGAGAGCTATTTGATGATCTGTTGAACCATGTACACCTCTTATTCTTCTGAGATGATAAGTTGGCTGGAGAAAGGGGACATTCTGAATCTGTCTGCTAAGCCATTGCCTTTGGCAGTCTTCTGCCTCTTTGGTTCTCTTTCTTCTTCAATCTCCATATCCTCCTAACATCAATGGGAAAAATTTAAACATACTTGATCAGTAGGTTCAGAAGTTTCTTTCTAGAGTTCACTCTACTTTCAGAAAATTTGATGCAAATTTCTTCGAAAGATCACATTACATCCTACAAATTGTGTTTCATTTCGTTCCAAAAGGAAAGGATGAAAAAGGGATATCATTTTTCTACCTCTTAACATTTTTTAGGGGACTCGGGCTGCAAGATGCAGAAGAGCTCTCAACCTCTGGCTCTTCACCACCAACGGTTGCTTCCATCTCTTCTTTGATCACCATCTTCTCCTAACATCAATTGGCAAATTAAAAACCAACTTGATCAGAAAACTAGGAGTTTTTCTACTATGCAAACTGTGTATCATTTCTTTTCAAAATGAAAAGACAATTAAAGGGCCGTCACGTTCTACCTTCTTCACTTGTGAACTGGAGCCATGGGATGCATAAGAGCCCTCATCCTGTGACAAATCACTATGATAACCACTATCGAGCAGCTGCAGCTCATCATCGTTCAGGACGTGCTTCACCACGAAGCACCCATTGCCAAAGTCCACAACAAAGGCACGTCTCTGTTGCGAACTGATGACAGCTGAGATGCCATCACCTGTGACCTTTCCAATAAGCTCTGCTGCAACACCTACAAGCTTTTGTGCTGGACCATCAAATATCATGACATTCATAGAGCCTGTCTCGTCTTCCATCACTGCATCCAGCTTGTACCTTACATAGCAACAACATCAACCTGGTAAGATCTTTCAAAAGGAAAACACAACATGTTGCTGCATATGAAAACTACGAATTGAGCAGCCATGTGGGGATGGAAGAAATAGTCTTTCAGATTCTCACCTAACAGATAACTTGTTATTTGGACAACCATCGTTGCACAAGAATTTGCTTCCATCCCAACTGATCGAGTGATGGCAGTGAAAGCATGACTGGTATGACCGACCTTTATTGGAGTCTATGCCTTTCAAGGTGGCTCTGCACAACCAGGTGCGCTGCCATAGAGAAAAAGGGACAGATAAGTGAGCAAGACATATGGTTTGAATCTGATCAAAGGGCGCCACCTAACCTGTAATTCATCTGAATTGAGGTTTCTCAGCTGCTTTATTGTTCGCCAGCTATCAATTAACTTAGTTGGATTTACAGGTTTTTGAAGCCAACATGGGAGGCAATCGATCGGTTTATATGGACCATCCAAGCTGCATACACATAGAACTATTAGCTCTGGCCTTATGTAGCCTTGATCAGCATTTCTGCTCAAGTATAAATGATTGAGTTCAGTCAGTCCACACCTTGCACGGAACTTTTGCACCTCCTCTACATCCAAATCCAGGTAGTATTTTGAAGCTGAAGTTGAGTGAACTATAAATCTTATTTCTAAATAGCATGATGGTGAGATGAGATTTGAAAAAAACAGGGAAAGGACGATATTATGCAGTTAAAGAAATAACTGAGAGTATAGATCAGACCTTTGTAGCGCTCAACAAGCATCCCTGCAAAAATAGCAACAACTGGGACTTTTCGGTCTTGATTGAAAACCTGCTCTGCGTTGAAATTGCGACCCAGATCTCCATAGAGAGTGACATTCAATTGCTTTCCCCTGTAAACAGTAATACATAAAGTAAGGTGCTGGCACAAAAGTAAAATGATGATTTGGAAGGAAGATTAGTAAACCATCACCCCAAATCACGCAGATGTATGTTGCGAAAAGATATGTTACATAAACCATCCCACTTCCAAGTCCGCCTCATCTTCAATGGATACTATCTGGCCAATAACATCAGCCAGCAAGCAAGTAAAAGGGTCAATTCAGACATGTGCAAACAGCAACATTCATTGCAATGATACTATCAGTTCCCAAGAAAATCCACCTGTAAGCAAGCTCGTGTCTTTGTCCCTAGAAGGAACATCACCAAAATTAACAAACTCAAAGCTATGGAGAGGTATCGAAGAACCGGCGCGATCGTTAATCTCGTCCACCTCTGTCTGTTCTCCCATGCTAATCACTAAACCATTGCTGCAGGCCATGTAGGACTTTAGTTTTTTGCCCACTTCAAAATTCGACAAGGCATAGACCTTCCCTTCAACTAGCTGGTGTTTGAGTCGCTTCGTGTCGCAGGGACGCGCCCACGCTTGCATAACTACACCCTACAAAATTACAAATCACCAGGGCGAAAAACATATTAAGTGTGCTGATACTGAAAAATCAGGCACTAGAAGTGTGCTACTTTGGTGACCAATCGGTTTAGTATGGACTAAAGAACTTCAGGTTGGGGAATGGACTGGCTCACCTCGCCGTCGATCAGGAGGCAGCGGAGACCGTATTCCTCGCCAGTTTTTGGATTGGAGGCCACCCAAATCCTGGAGACGCGCACCCGGACTCTGCTCCTATAACCGTGGCATCCGAGGGTTAACTGAGAGTCTGAGACAATGGGGTGAAGGCACCTTGAACTTGTGATGGACCACGCATTCCGGCCTGGGGGGCTCAAGCCTGTCCTCATCCCTAACCCTGAGCTGCAGGAGAACAAAGAACAGATCACAGGTGACAGATCAGTATAGAGCTAGAGTCGCAGAGACAGAGAGACGCCAAAACAAGAGACGAGCCTTTCTATACTAAAAAAATTCATGCGGCGGTAAAAATAAACCGCCGATTCAAGTTACTGCGCTATCCAGGTTCATAGTGAAAGGGGGGAAATGAAGCGTCGAATCCTAGGCTAGCGAACGCATGCCGCTTCAAGAACTAGAGGCATCGGACTCATCACCGACTGGATTTCAAGAACAAACGACCAAGACGAGGTTTTTCTTGGTTGAGATCAAGACGAGGTAACAGTCAAGAAACTGGTGTACCTCGCCTGGTGGAGCGACGGCGGCTTGCGCAGCATGTCTCACCTCCACCGGCCAAGAGAGGAAGAGAATGCACCCGTTAGTGCAGAGCAGAAGTTAATGCAGAACAACTGAGCAGCTGAACTGCAAGGCCACGTGTCCCGTGGTATACGGAGTAAACGAGGAGTGCTTCAAAAAAAAAAAAACCTGAGGAGACCCGGAGTGTAGCACGTGGAAGGAACAGGCAAACGACTGGTGTGAAGTGCTCTTGACGGGACAGGACGATGCCAAGGCAACTGACTCCATGTATTAAATATACACTAATTGCGAAACTAATTACCTAATTTAGGACTAATTTACGAGACGATTCTTTTAAGTCTAATTAGTCTATGATTTGATAACGCTACAGTAAACATACGCAAATGACAGGTTAATTAGGCCTAAAAAATGTCTTGCAAATTAGCCCCGTCTATATAATTGGTTTTGTAATTAATCTATATTTCATACTCTTTATTAGTATCTAAACATTTGATGTGACATGAATTTTAGAAGCAACTAAAGAACCAAACACCCTTAAGACCCATCGCTAGCGGTACAGTCAAAGTTTTTAATATCTATTTTTTTGTCATTTCTAACAGTAAAATTTATAAGACAATTCTTTATGCAAATGGGTCTTCAGGAGAGAGGATACTCAAATTTAGGCTCCTGATACTTAAAATTGGTCTCCTGTAAAGGTACTCTGTTAGAGACTAATATAGTACTGTCGGAGACCTATTTTGGGTTTGTATGCCCTTACGGGTCACCTGTGGGAGACGGTCGGTACTACTACCCCTATCAACATTGTTTACTCGCTCGAAAAAAACATGTTTTTATTTTTTATTAAGGAGTCAAAATAATTTTGAGTTGAAATCAAATCTCTATGGAAATGAAATCAAATCTATATAAAACATATTTAATATTTATGATATTATCAAAGTCATCAGAATATATTTTTACAATGAACCTATTTAAGATATCTATATCGTGTGGCTAAAAAGGTGCAAGAAGAAAAAATAAAAAAAGTGCAATGCGTCCAAGAGAAGACTCGTTCGGTCATCCCAAACAACTATGTAAATATCTACTCCCTTCGTCCCACAAAACATATAAATCTCGTTTTTTAAGACCACAGTAGTAAAGGTGTTAAATTACGCATGTCCCCTGCTGTCTTCTTCTCAACACATGTATAGAACTAAAAAATCATCTAGAATCTTTACTGAAAATGCAGAGTTAACATGATTTTTTAGTTGCATATGTATTTTTTTATCGGTGAGTCCTACCCTAAAGCTTATCTTCAACCTAGATTTATATGTTTTTTAAGATAAGATTTAAACTACGGGATCATATGTTTTTTTGGAACGAGGGAATAGCAAGTATTGTATTTTATTTCACTTGGAAGAGAGTGTGCAAGTAGTATGCTTGCACGTCTCTCGGAAAAACATGGCTTTGTTCGGTTTACCACATATTTAACTTGTTTGGCTTGTTTTTTTAGTCGAAAAAGTATTTTTCTCTCACAACAATTCAGCCGGAACATTGTTTTCAGTCAGCCAAGTTTCAGACCAGCGAACGGGCCTTATAAATCTCTGACTATTTGGCCCACTTTACCTATAAATGTGCAGTCTCTCGAAAAAACACAAATCTCTGACTATTTGGCCCACTTTGCCTATAAATGTGCGCAGCTACTCCTTTTATCTCTTTCTTTATTTATTACCTCACGTCTCTAAATCGGCTGGCGATTTCATCTTATCGTTGGGGATGCCGAAAGTAAATATGAGTAGTATACCTATGCCGTGAAAAGTGAAAACTAGGTAAGTTAATAGAAGAATCAAATAAAATATTTATAGAATATTAGATTGAATTACAGAGGATGTGTGGCCAAACAATCAGTACGACGTGGATGTCTCGTATATTGATGTACTGAAAATAGTAATTATATGTAGTGAAAGATGATGTAATACTTATTGGGATTATGTGGCATTTAATAGGGTATAACATGTTGATAGCTTACATGCTGAGATTAAAAGTTTATGGTGTTTATTTTTACAAGTCATGTAGATATAGATTTCTTGCGTGCATGATTTTATTTGTTTTCCTTATTTTCAAGGTAGTCGTTTATATAGAGTATTTATACGTACAACGACAATCAATGTATTGCAAACAGAACTTAAGTTATGAATAAATTTGAGATTGTTTGATTTTTTAGAGCTGCTTCAATGTGGTTCAAAATCGAAGGATGAGCCACTCAAATCGAACCATACACACGCTGCGACGATCGAACCTTGCGTGTCAGAACAAGAATCGACTCTTGCATATACGCCGCGCCAAGAGAATAGTTTAATCTAGCAACTCACTTGCATGCAAGGTACCGCATGTGGGCATAGGAGAGTAGGAAGATGAGTAGCATAGAGAAAGTGTTTTCTTATTCATTGTGTGCCCTAAGAAATTAATGTATGCACTAGAGCTAGCGAACTTGTCGAAGATGATCGAACTCTGCTACTTTTGTTCGACACCACACTAGAGCTGCCTTTAAAAAGGAAGATTGTATTATTTTGAGAGAGAGAGAGAGTATACAGAAGATGATAGGTAAGCACATTTAATTTTTTATTTCACAAATCAGGACATTATACAGAATGCCATACAGATTGTCTACGGCACCGGAGCGAAGATATAGTGTTTTGTCGTTAGGGGTGTGTGTGCAAATGCACTCCCTAAAAAACTTGTGCATAGGATAAGCTGCTTGCACAATGATACGACACCAAAATGTAAGGTGCACGTGCCGGTCTTATCTCTCTCCAGTATCGGCTGGTGAGCCTCACATGTCAGTGCCATGTAATTGCGCAATAAGTGTGTTGTTATGGTGATTTAAATGTCACATGACATAATCAATAAGAGTTTAGGACATGAATATGCATTTTCGAAGTTATGATATCCAGATAACACCTTGAGCCAAATTTGAGGGACCGGCGGCGCATTTTAGCTCAAGAAGAAAACACAGCTCACACGTGATTTGGAGTCGCTCTCAAACTTGTTATTATGCTCTCCAACTCAGTTCCAGCTTACTCACCATGGCCGAATCGAGAAAATCAATACGCTAGTAGTAGTAATTAAGCTAAGAACACGGTCGTGGCGCTTATCATAATTACTTTTAATAACTCTTGTTCAAGAATTACTAGTAGGGTATTATACTAATTAAGTTCTTTGAATTGTTCAAGATGGAACCATGTACGCAAGGGATCGGCTAGCTGCGACGATCGATCGAGTAGGTGTGCCGTGTGCGTACCTGCGCCGCCGCTACTACTTTGCAAGGGAGGGTTCCTGCTTGGTTGCCCGTGTTGACGGTCGTGACGGTGTGAGCCCGCCGGACGACGGGCCGGGGGTTCGGCGGCAATGGTGCCTCCGTTGCTATATACTCGCGGAATGGCGCCGCCGTCAGACGCGAAGCAAATTGATCCGTGCACGTACGTACCTAGTAGTACTAGCTAGCAAGGCACGGTTATATACCTATATAAACAACTCCGTGCGTAAGTCGTCTTATTCGTTATGAGCCATACTTTTTCGATCAACATACTTTTTCGATTAACAAATAATATTTTTCTCTTACAACAAATATGTCTACAGTATTTTTAGTCATAGTTTATTAACCAAGCGAACATAGCAAAGATGTGTAGACAGACACACACAGAGAGCATCGATTCGGACACAATCCGAATCGGGGAACTATTTGCTTCTGATCAGAACACGCGATACGTAAAACGTGTTCGATCACGTATTCATGTTTGACTTGAAGTCGGACGTCACCGTAGTCGATAAATAAGTAAACATAAAAGCTAGCTAGCTGCCTAGCTGTAGTATTATATATACAGTACCAAAAATAACGAGACGAACATCGAGTAGGCGCGGCAGAGCATCATTGTTCTGCTGCGTGCGCGCCATGGTGCTGACGAGGAGCATGGCGGCACGTCGGAAGCCGCTGGCGCTCCCGCACGACATGGTCGTCGAGATCGCCGCGCACATCGCCGCGACGTCGCCGCACCCGATGGAGGACATTCGGAGCCTACGAGCCACGTACGTGTCCGCAGTCCACCCACCCCGCACTTTTCATCACATACATTCATTCATTCATGACTACGTACGTAAAACACGTAGGTACGTACGCGCACTATAAGCTTGTCTACCTGATGTACCGTGCGTGTCTTGCTCTTGCAGTTGCCAGGCCATGCACGCGGCGTGCAAGGAGGGCGTCGTCGGGAGCAGCGTGGCGCTGGAGCGGGAGGAGTCCATGAGGTGGTTCGACCACGACCGCTACCTCGCCCTCGTCCGCAACCTGGCCGCCGCCGGCAACCCGGAGGCCTGCTTCGTCCTCGGGCTCACGCTCGTCTTCGCGCAGCAGCGGTGCACGGCGCCCACTGGCACCGAGTGGCTCAGACGGGCGGCCGCCGCCGGCCACAAGGTCGCGGCCTACGTGCTCGGCGTCCTCCACTACCACTACGGGGACAAGGAGGCCGAGCGGTACATCAGGCAGGTCGAGGGCGAGGCGGCGTCCAACGGCGACATCGCCCACGGGTGCAAGCAGCTGGCCAGCGGCAGGACCAACCGGGAGTGCGTGAGGTGCCGGTCGCAAGCTGTCCAAGCGGTTCAGGACGTGACATGGAAGGTGGACGGAATGATGGTGCCGGTGCCGGTACCGGCGCCGGCGGAGGAGGGCGGCCAAGGTTGTAAGGGCAGCGGCTGCGGCGTGCCAGAAGGATGGGCCGGTGGTTGCGCCGTCTTTTGTAGCGACGGCTGTAGAATTAGGCACGAGTACTCCGAGTTCTTTTCGCGAGTGTCATTACCTGATACCTAGAAGAACGAGCTAATGGCGACATAAACTTGTACAAAACGAACCCTCCGTTCCTAAGTAAATCAATTTCTACAATCAGTGTGAGTCAAACCACCGACGGAACCAGCGGGGCATCTTGTTCCATTCCTCTGTAAATGGTATAATTGCATAAAATGAGACACTGCCAATGAAAACTATCCGAGT